ATCCACCAGTTCCACCCTATTCCGTACCATACAAGTTGTGCCTTGGTTTCCGCCTGTTCTACCCTATTCCGTACCATACAAGTTAGTGCCTTGGTTTCTACCAGTTCCACCCTATCCCGTACCATACAAGTAGTGCCTTGGTTTCCGCCTGTTCTACCCTTTCCCATACCATACCTGTAGTGCCTTGGTATCCACCAGTTCTCTTCTATCCCGTGCCACACATATAGTTCGTTGATTTCTTGTTGCAGGTAAGGAGAGCTGTTTTGAGCGAATCGTGTCGAGATTCGGAAGAAAGTGCACCTACGTAGTCATAGGCGACAATAATGACGAGGAAGGGGCCGCGAAGCAGGTACGTGCGTCCGATAATCACCTATATATCACATGCTAATCAAGTGGATCTCAGTTAGATCTAAATTAAGTTAAAAATAACTTACACTGCCGAAATTTTCGTCCATCTCTCCGATAGACTTCTTCAGTGTAAATTATTTTGGATCTGAACTGAGATCAACTTTATTAGCATGTGAACTATAGAGATCCGATGAAATTATTCAATCACCTATATGTCGTCTGCACCTGTCGTCTGCATCACTCTACCCTGCACGTCTACAGAACGCTGATGGATGCAAACATGTTATATCAACTTATAATGCTACTAAATAATAACTCCTCGAATAAGTTCATTCGGTTGGTTGATAATAGAGATAACTTGAATAAGTAGAAATCAACCAAGTTATCTCTAAATAATAACTGATGCTGATGATGGTGTTACGATCCTGGGGCCTGTTGTCAACCACAAAGTTGGTTCTAACATTAGTCTTGACAGGAACTTTTTCTCAGTTGATTATTCCCAATAGCCTAGACATTGTTAAGCCAAAGGCGTTTTTTCCATCATGGCTGATCGTGACTGTTCTTGTGTTCGACAGTTGAACATCCCATTCTGGAGGATCCGATCTCATTCCGACCTGGCCGCTTTGCATCAAGCACTGGAGTTCAACTTCTTGTAGAGTCGTCACGGCAACCGTGTGATGTCGCCATCGCGTATCCCCGGCCGCCCCGGGGCGGAGCACCGTCACCGCACGCGGGAAACGACCGTCCGACGCGTCGAACTAACTGTGGTGCCGTGAACGATGAAAGCCGAACAGTGACCAAGCTGTCGCTTGTGACCTTGCCATGACCTTGGCTGCGGACGCCGCCGACGGCGGGCAGCGGGTGAGGCTTGCGCGCCGGGGTCGGCGGTCGGGCGTCGCCGCGCGTCGAGTGTCGAGAAAGGAGAGAGCGTCCGGTGAGGACGGACACGGAACACTGTCATGGCGGCGGCGCGGCGGCGGTCGGCGGAGGACGGCGATGCGAGGCCATGCTACCGGTGCTGCTGCCTGCGTGCGTGGAGAGAGTGTGAGATGACAGCATGAGCTGGTGGGCGGCTGCCCCCCCCCTCCCCCTGTGACGACACCATGACATTAATGTCTCTCCCGTCGACGCGGGGAGGGCGCGACTGTTACTGGGTGACACACGCAGACGCGCGCTCGCTCGCACACGCACACACGCACGCACGCGCACAAACACACACACACACGTGACGCAAGCAGATCGTCTAACATTCCAGTTGCCGCGGAAACGGCGGGGAGCGTTTTCCCGTTGCCGTGGCAACGACCGAAGGCGGAATCTGCCCGAAGAAAATCGCCAGTGCCGGGGAGGAGAGCAATATTGGAAAAGATAGCGGGAAGAGTCTCCAGAGGGCAGCACGTGAATGCGCCATGGCTGCCAGCGCACGCGCACACTTCGTTCGGCCGCCATCTTTCATCGAATCTGGCCACTGGTGAAACGCATTGGCGGCCAGGCGCGGCCCCCGTGTGTATCGGTGACGGGTGCACAGCCGCAAAGCCTCCAGCTCCTAGACATGCTCCGAGGATGTCTCGGTGCGCCTGCATGACAGGTGGCGTGCAGGGTGCGAGACGACAGACGGAGGGGTGGGGGTGGTTCTAGGTTATTTCTAGAAGCGAATTGAGTTCTAAAAACTCCTCGTTTACCCGTGAGTAAATACCTGGCCTGTTCACAAGATGGCATGGCATGATTTCCTTGCCAAATCGTTGGTATACCAAAGAGTTTATGAGCTTCTGATGAGATAATCATGACATAAGTGCTGCCGCATGGTGGCAGACACCATTTCGTTGTACAGTTTTTGCAGGCACTATGTATGTATTTATGTGGTTGTTATACGTAATATACAAGTTGTCTCTGGAAAAAAATTGACTAGAGAGATCGTAATAAGAGAGGGAGGGAGAGGAAAATAGTGTGTGGGCGCGAGCGCGTGTGTGTGCGTGCGCGTGGGTGTGTGTATGTATGTGTGCGTGGGTGAGTGGGTGGATGGGTAGGTGGGTGAATGTGTGTTGAGGGGAGGATGGGTGGCTTGATGGGTTGTGTGTGTGGGTGTGTGTG